TGATCACCAAGCTCCCAATCACCACCAAGCCATCTTGGTGATGGCGATCACCAAGAGTAAAAAGCACGGACTCTCACTTGACCATGACAAGCCTAATGAGAAGGGTGGATGCACACTTTGCTACTCTTGCTTTCACTAATGAGGGCTCTCTTTGGGATTCTCAAATCTCAATCACCTCATTAGGACCTTGCTCTTCTTGGCACTCTCAAAGGTGTACCTCAGCTGTTGGAATGAGCAAAAGTAACCCCTCACATGAATGGAGGAAGTATTTATAACTTGGTTAAAAAACGAACCGTTATGTGCCTCTGCGGGGTGACCGGACGCTCCGGTCAGTTCACCCCAAACTCCAGTGTTAAAGTTGTGACCGGACGCGTCCGGTCATGATTTTCTCTCTCTGGAACCTTACTGGAGTCAACCGGACGCTGGCACCCAGCGTCCGGTCGCTCACCTCTGAAGGGTCGAGATGGCGGACTAGAGGGGGGGGGGGTGAATAGTCTTTTCTAAAATTAATCGCGTCGGCTAACCGATATAAATGCGGAATTAAAATAATCGGTCTAGCCAAGACTACACCCCTCTATATATGTTCACTAGCACCTTGCAAAGATACTAATAAAGCAACTAAGGTGCCGGGCTAGCTAGAGCTCTCCTAAACAATTCTAGAAGCAAGGTCACACAAACCTATGCCACTAGTACTTTAAGTAACAAGGGAGCTCCTACACATGCTAGTAAGCAAAAGTACAAAGCTAACTAAGCTCACTAGCAATGCTCAATAACAAGGCAACCAATGCCTAATTAGAGAGCGCAAATACTTAGCTACACAAACTAAGCAATGTGACTAACAAGGTTACTAAAACCAAATTAGCCACGCAAGGGAGCTACTTCTATGCTACACAAGCAAGAAGGTAATTAGCTAGCTACACAAGCTATCTAATTACAAGAGCAACTACACAAGCTTAAGATAATATATAAGTAATTGCAAGCTTGTGTAATGGGGATGCAAACCAACGGGAAGAACAAGGTTGACACGATGATTTTTCTCCCGAGGTTCACGTGTTTGCCAACACGCTAGTCCCCGTTGTGTCGACCGCTCACTTGGTGGTTCGGCGGCTAATTAGCATCACCCGCTAAGCCCGCACGTCGGGCACCGCAAGAACCTACCCCTTGAGTGAGGGTAGCTCAATGACATGCTTTACTAAAGTTGCTCTTCGCGACTCCCGCGGGGCGAGCACAAGTACCCCTCACAAGCACTTCTCCGGAGCGCCGCACAAGCTTCTTGCGGGCTTCGACGGAGACCACCACCAAGCCATCTAGGAGGTGGCAACCTCCAAGAGTAACAAGCACCACCGGCTTGCAACACGACCACCTAGTGCCACTCGATGCAACCTCACGATGCAATCGCACTAGAATCGCTCATTCACATAATCGAATGATCACTATCAAGTATATGTGTGATGGAGGGCTCCCAAGCACTCACAAGCATGGACACTAAGTCCCTTGAGGTGCTCAGCACCAGCCATGGCCGAGGGCCACTTCTATTTATAGCCCCAAGGGCTAAACTAGCCGTTACCCCTTCACTGGGCAACGGTCGGGCCGACCGGACGCTCTGGTCGTGTTGACCGGACGCTGGACCTCAGCGTCCGGTCACCCGCAGACGGCCACGAGTTCTGATTCCAACGGTCACTTGACTTGACCGGACGCAGTAGCTTTCAACTGACCGGACGCTGAACCCCCAGCGTCCGGTCGTTTCCAGTAAGGTACCGACCTCAACCGGACGCGTCCGGTCACACTTGATCGGACGCAGCCAGCGTCCGGTCACACTCTAGCTTCTGCGTCATCGTACGTCAGCCTGACCGGATGCAGCCTTCCAGCGTCCGGTGCATTCAGATCCAGCGTCCGGTCAGTTGACCGACGCCAGCATCTTCGCGACTAACTCATTTTCACTTCTAACTTCATCACCCTTGCTCCAATGTGCTAACCACAAGAACTTGCATCCGGCGCAATAGAAAATAGGCATTCTATTTTCCCGAAAGCGCCAACACCACCTCCTTTGTAAATGTGCCAACACCACCAAGTGTACACCACCATGTGTATGTGTGTAAGCATTTTCACAATCATTTCCCAAAGGATGTTAGCCACTCATCTTGCCACGCCACTCGATCCTAGCGACAATGCAAAGTTAGATCACTCGAGTGGCACTAGATGACCGATATGCAAACAAGTTTGCCCCTCTTGATAGTATGGCCATCTATCCTAAACCCGGTCATAAACTTCTCTACACACCTATGACCGGTGAAATGAAATGCCCTAGGTTATACCTTTGCCTTGCGCATTCCATTCCATCTCCTCCAATGTCGATGCAACACATGCACCAACACGATCAACAATGATATGATCCACTTCATATCATCACATGATCATATTGGTTCATCGATCTTGACTCTACTTGCTCTTCACCGTTGCTATCGTCCATCGGCGCCAAGTCTTGCTCAAGCTTCACCGCCACGCGGTCCATCACTCCAAAGCCTTTGACTTGCCCTTCACGCTTGCAACCGGTCCATCAAGCCAAGTCTTGTCTTGATCTTCTCCACCTTGATCACATGACTCAATGTCATGTCTCATGTGCAATAAGCTCCTTCATCATCACATGTGTGAGCTTTGCAACATCTCCAAGCCATTTTCACCTCCATGGCATGTGTTGCTCATACACATGTACCTGTGGACTAATCACCTGTGTATCTCACATAAACACAATTAGTCCACCTAGGTTGTCACTCAATTACCAAAACCAACAAGGACCTTTCAACCTCTCAGCGTCCGGTCGCACCAGACGATTTCTCCTTGATCAAATGAACTGACCGGACTCTGCGCCAGCGTCCGATCACACCAGAACCAGCGTCTGGTCAGTATTTGATCCTCCATTCACTTCCAACTCTCGATCATACGTGAATGAAGTTTGCTCCAATGGATCTAAGGGCTTTTTAGGAGCTACCTAGTGCTAGATTTAGCAAGTGTGCACCACACCTAACCCACTAGACTCACCTAGGTCAAGCTACCCGTCCATACCCCCCTTAATAGTATGGCCAAAGGAAAAACAAAGTCCTAAACTACTCTAAGTGTCTCTTCAACTCCAATCGACACTTAGAACTAGGCCATCCTTAACCTTGTCATCCATCCTTTGAAAACCGAAACGATTTCCATCGTAGGGGCATGACCACCATGATAGCCCAATCGATCTTCATAACCGTGACCTAACTTAATTGCCTCTGCAAAACACACGTTAGTCACAGTAATCACGTATTGCCATTAATCACCGAAACCCAACTAGGGGCCTAGATGCTTTCACAGCCCATGGTCCAATTGCACCCTCGGAAGCAAAATGCCAGTGACCTGTAAACACTTTATTTTTTATAAAGTCTACCACGGGTCCCTAAACTTGTGCCACCGTGTCATCCCGGTTCCAAACTTGCAAAACACTCACCTAGATACCTAAACACCGTCCGGGTCTCATCGTCCATCCAAACGGGTCTCGACCTACTATCCGCCTCCTCCTAGATAGCCCATTGCAGCGCGTGGAGGCGGGCTGAGGCTGAGGTCTACGGCATAGGCTGGGTCGACCGTGAGCACCAGGCCGATCCCGACACTGTTGATGCGCATTGACGAAGGTCTCAACCGTGACGCCTGTGCTGGCGGTCTCCGATGAGGCATTGAGCTCTGAAGGACGCTTTCATGCTGAGGCTAGAGGAAAGTGCGATGATGCATGCCATGACCTTCAGTTCATCTGGGCAACGCCCATCTCTGGTGTTACTTTCACCAAGCATTCTGCATACGGGTGAATTCATATGAGGCGATGGATCAAGAACAAGAGGCGAGTGTATGCAATCGCATGATATCTTGAAAGAAGTTTGGTTTGGTTTGGTCATGACGGGGTAGCTGTTGGCTAGCATTGGCATCATGGTGGTTGGTGGCACACGTGTACATGACAAAGATCTCCCCTGCAACCCTGTGGGACTTCGTGGCGTCCTTCCCTGAGGAGTTGAGGTGGCAACGCGTGCAAGAACCAAAGTGAGAGGTCTAAACACCTTTAGTCCCGGTTATAGGAACTAGGACTAAAACTCGAGACATTTGGTCCGGATTGCATATATAGTTCTGGTTCCCAAAATCGGGACTAAAGGCGGTTGGGAACCGGGATTAAAGCGTGTTTCTTAGGTAGTGGTATATTATATGTAAAAATTATGTTTTACATATAGAAGTAGAGAGAGAGAGAGAGAGAGAGAGAGGAGAATTTCAAGTAGACAAAATAAACAAAAGTATATGTAAAAACTATTTTGATGTAAAAATATTCTAAAAATGTTAGAGTAAACAAACTCAAACTATCGATGCTATTGACTATCTTGTTTTTTTTAGGAAAAATTGACTATCTTGTTGGTTCATTCTAAAGGGGAAAAGGGCTCTAAGCACGGGGGAGAGAAGTGCGCGCGGCCCATGAGGCAAACAGTTAGGTTGTTCTGTTCAAGTTATTGCCACTCTGGGCCGTTGAGCGCCAACGGCCTTCAAGGTCGATTTTATTCAATTACACGGTCTAGTGGCAAATTATTATTTAAAAAACGTATTCGAAGGGCATATATAAATCACAAGTTCAAATGTTCAATTGTTCGGTTTATTCAGTGACAGGCAGGCTAATTTCATAAACGAGCAAGATCTCTGCCAATTCAGAGATATACCATACACTGAATGTTACGGATCTCACCAATACGTAGTGAATGACAAAGTGAAGATGGCACACAAGTGCATACATGGTACATAGAATAGAAGCATCAAAATGCTTGAAAGATGAGCTGCAAGCGAAATATATACACAACGAGAGGTAGGAGTATCCAAGTATGTAGCTCGGAATGGCCAGCGAGAGGTGGTAGTAGGATAGTACGTGCACGATGCGTGTGTTCGATCGATCACCTCCAGCGATCGCCGGCAGCCGCTCCGTTGACCACGTCGGCGGCCAACTACTGGTCGCAGCTGGCCGACCTGGTGAGCGCCGCGGCCCGGGCCGCCGACGCGTTGAGGCTGCGCCTCCGCTCCTGGCACGACGCCGTCCTCCGGTCCAGGCTCCGGCGCGCGATGCGGCGCATGGAGCCCGCCACGGACAGCGTCGGGTTGAGCCTCGTCGTGGCGTTGAAGTCCCTGCACTCGGCCTCGTGGGCGCCCAGCGCCGCTGCCACGCCGCCGCCGCCGCCGCCCACCGGGTCCTGCTCCTGCCGCCGCACCCGCTCCTTCACCGCCTCCGCGCACAGCCCGCACAGCTAGTCGCCGCAGAAGGACGCGCGGACGCCGCGGATGTACGCCGCCGTGCAGTCCTCGCCCACGCCGCAGCACGCGCAGTGCACCGTCTCCACCTGCTGGTCGGAGCCGGCGACCACAGCCTTGGCTGCGGCCGTGGCGGCGCTCGAGGCCACGACGTCCGGGCGCGGATTGCTGCTGCCGAAGCCGATGATGACGAGTTTCTCCAGCTTGCTTGCGATTTCTGAGCAGGCCCGTCGCAGATCTTGGCTCTCCATCTGAACAGCGCTCCGTTATTAAGCACGTATACTGATTGCATATATTATTCATTCGTCTATCTATATACACATATGTAGCAGGGAATGATCATATATTCATACATCTTGTGAGCCCACTGTGCACATTATGTTTTTTTTTACGAAAAATATCTCTTTTTGCTCACTCCCTCCTATGTCTATTATACCTGCATGCATGGAATCTTAGAATATATGATGGCAGGGTTTCTAGCTCACACATTAATGTAAAAAGTACCACGTTCATTTCATTGCAAATTGCAAGTCGTTTTAGCTTTTCTACGTAACAATATATCTAGTAGACATAGCATATATATAGGTGCGTAACAAAAATTATGTATCTAGAAAAATCAAAGTGATCTACAATTTAGAACGGACAAATTATTTAATTACTGTGGTACGTTAATTCGTTGAGTGAAGATAGAATTTACCTTTGCAGGGAGCTCGCTCGCTCTTTTGGGCCTCGATGATATACTTGTATCTTCCTCTCTCGCTCGCTCCTAGGTTGGAAGCAATATATGGTGAGAGCATGCGATCCTATATGGTATTTATAGGGCTAGATGGCATGGGCATGCCCACACAAGTAGTGCCCAAAGGAAGCACAACTTGGATGAGCTTTTCTTGCAACCTGTACATGATCGAGATCACCGGCAGCACTATTCCAACAAGCAGCTAGTTCAACCACAAAATATATATAAAGAAGTTTATTAATTTGCAGAGAGACGATGATGGATAGGTGTATCCAGGGCAACATCTTGCATGTGAAAGAGAGAGATGTTGTTTGCGTTGGTAGAGAGCACAGAGCCTAGAGGCATGTCATTGTGACTTTCTGAGTATGGCAGTGCTCAACAACGACACACCTATGTGCGGGTGGCGCCGCAAAGCAAAGAGATAGTATACGTCGGATCGTTAAAAGCGCAGCACTTGTAGACGGTGTTCATGCATCTATCATCCCATGCAAACTACTTCAACAGCCGTTTTCATCACTAGGCAGTAGCTAGTGTAATGAGCAATCATGGATTTTGCAAAAAGGAGTAAAAAAAAGAACATGGAAAGGGCAAAATGCACCGTTTGTATTTTGCTAATGGAGATGATGGATGTGGCTGGGAATCGTCGGACACCTCTTATTTGTGCTCCCGGCCCGACCCCGTCTCTATGATCACATGACCTAGAGTGCTTTCGCTTTACTCTAGCGTTGTATTTGGTTTAGCTTCTGGAAATTACTTTTGCTGCTAAAAAGTAAAACACTAGCCAAATGAGTAGAACTTGAAGCTCTTTTGTGCAGTACAATTTTCACAGCACCTTAGACCTTGCTTTTTGGCTTTCTGATTTTTCAAATGGGTGAAAATAGAGATAAGTTTCAAAATTGTTTCGAGGGAGATTAAGAGAGAAAGCAGGTTTCATAGTTGTTTCAAATGAAAAAAATTAAATACAAAGTTGTAGATCGCATCAAGCTATACAATTTTGATATAAAGTTAGTATTTATTGCACTACTACAAAAGTTAACTGTAGGGGCAGCTCTAGAGCTTATGTAGGGGCGGCTGCGCCAGCCGTCCTTCCCAGGGTGTTCCTACAGAGGGTGCCTCTGTAGGGGCGGCTAGTGTTTTCAGTCGCCCCTGCAGTGCCCTCTGTAGGGGTGGCTGGTAATATCAGCCGCCCTTGTAGTGGACTTCTGTAAGGACGGCTGTATCACTAGCCGCCCCTGCTGTGCGTATTTGTAAGGGCGGTTCAATCAAGAAACGCCCCTACAGTGGATTTTCCAGCAAAAAAAAATTCAAATTCAAATCTGACCACATATATATATAATTCAAATTCGAATCTGACCGCCACAAATATACATATATACATCCACAAACACAAGACCATTATTTAGAACATCATCACAAGTCATAATTCACAAAAGTCCATCATTATTGGTAGTAAAGAAGATAAGAGGGGATGAAAGTGGACTACGATTATTACATCTTTAACTTCAAATGAATTATGCCGCAGAGGAAACTGATCATGTCCGGCAGGTTCGAGCTGAGGTGGATTCACATGTTGTCCTTGGCCATAGAATGCTTGAAAAGCTTCCTCTCTTGAGTTGATTTTTTTTGTAGCAATTACCCTTGGAAGCCATCGACTTGAGCATGTGCTTTGTCCCGGCTAGAGTACACACCAGGTTCCTTCCTACGATGAACAACATACCATGCCATAGCTGCAGAAAAAGTAAAGTGTAGTAACAAAAAGTAAAGTGTAGTAACAAAAATACCACCAGGAGGCATGTGTAAGCATCATTGGCAAAGAGGCATGTGCTCAGTTCTATGAAAAACACATCACAGGCAACAGACATGTGCTCAGTTATATGAAAAACACATCACAGGCAACAGACATGTGCTCAGTTATATGAAAAATACATCATAGGCAACAGACATGCCCTCAGAAGAATGCAGGTAATATGCTTAGAAGAGTTAACAATAAGATGTTCAAATGAATAGCTAGATCACATGATCAAACTGCCAAGGCAAATACACACACTAGCATCAGGTAGGTTGACCCAAAGAAGAATGCAAGGGTGTAGTGGCATATAGTCACTAACTACAAGCCACAGTTAGCCATAGTTAGTAGAGGGTAGCATGTTAACTGCACAAAAGAATGCAGGAACATATCAACTGCACAGAGATGGGTAAGCCGATTGCACAACCAAGCCCAGCAGGAGTGAGTTATACACAAAAGAAGCCACTAGAGAAGACCAGATGCATCCACTAGGAGAGAGCAGCCACTGCACCAAACCATGCATACAAAATACCACTAGTAGAGGGCAGGCACTGCACAAAAGATGGATCAACCAATAGACCAGCAAGCAGCTCAGTTGTAATAGTGCTTGGCCAAGAAGGTTCTCAGCCACAGCACACGATGATCTGCATTCATGTTCACAAAAGCAGTACCCTAGGGCTTGTTGTCAAGAAGGTGGCCTCATCAACGAATCCAAGCATGAACATCACAGCCCCATACAGCTCTGGGTGGGAATCCTCAACCTTGGTTGAACAAATAACATCACAGCCCCAGCAGGCAAACCAGCCCCAACAGCAGCAAACCTAGTAGGAGCACCAATCCCAGGAAACACAAGCTCATCAGGTGCAAGCATGTCAACATTCATCTCCTCAGCCATTCCCTAGTTTAGTTGGCACACCCCACTCAGATTGTAATAAGATCAAATAAACATCATTGCACATGTCTCTAACCTCAAGTAAATTAAGAGAGTAACAAATAAACATCATAGTACATGCCTGCAGCCTCAGGTAAATTAAGACAGTAACAAATAAACATCATAGCACATGCCTGCAGCCTCAGGTAAATTAAGCCAATAACAAATAAACATTATTACACATGCCTCCAGCCTCAGTTAAAGTATCACATAAACAAATAATCATCATTGCTCATGTCCAAAGCCTCAGGTCAAATGTAGTATCACAAAAAATCATCATTGCATTTGTCCAATGCCTCAGTTCAAGTGTAGTATAATAAAAAATCATCATAGCATAAGTCCAAAGCCTCAGGTCAAGTGTAGCATAAAAAATAAATCATCATTGCACATTGTTCAATGCCTCAATTCACATGAAAAACATAGTTCAACATTATTGGAACAGTAGCAGTTGCTTTCACATGAAAATCATCATAGCGTAAGTCCAATGCCTCAGTGTTATACATTTGTAGATTTTATGTAGTTAGCCATTGTAGTTGATTACCTGGTGCAACCCTTAACCCATCCTCCCTCTCTAGTGCATCAGCAAGGAAAGTAGCATCTATGAGCAAGTTTCTTTCTCTAAGCAGTTGGCACAGCTTAAAAAAGGTGCTCTTCTCATACGAAGCATGTTGACATACTCTATATCATTGCAGTTGTAAATTAAATCCAAGTTTTTTTTGCCTTTCCTCATCCATGATTTTCAAAGGGCCGTAAGTGATATGAGGCCTTGAATCATGTTGCATTCTAAGCCTACTAAACAAGAGTGCATACATAGCAGTGATAAGAGCAGCGGCCTGAGCAATCAACAGTCGTCGCTGGTCCTCCAAAGCCATCTACCAAAGCAACACATGTGCAATGAGCACAACAACACAACAAAGCTATGAAAATAAGGGTGTGTTTTATTTCCTGGACAAGGTAAACAACAACCAATGCTTACTGTTCAATCTTTAGTACTATATGAAAGACATCATTGACATTGAACAAGTGCTCAGATTAACTGAAAACAGATATCCAAGGCATAGACAAAAATCTTTGGCATTGGACAGTGCTCAGATTTACTGAAAGAAATCATGAAAAGCATGGACAAATTATCATTGGCATTGGACAAATGCTCAGAGCAAAAATAGCAACATCATTGACTTGGACATGAGCTCAGAAATATATTTCATTCACAGATCTAGACAGCACCGACATCATCCATCAAGTACTACTGCAATAATCAGAATAGAGAGGAGGGGAGGGCTCAAAAGAGGAGGATTGCTTATACCGAACAGATGTGGTGATAGCACCACAATCAAAAGCAGATGAACAAATAAGGGATGACAGATCTGTTGTGCCTGCATCAAGTATGAGATGAAATAATTAGGGATCGACCTATTTCCCAAGAACCTAGGGTTACAAGATGAACAAAATAGAGGGAGGGGCGATGGGGACAACCAGATTCACTTGCTTGTTCAAGAACTCAGATTCATAGCGCCTGGAAAACAACCACAGAGGGAGGGGATTAGGCCGGCTTGAATCAATGACAAACACTAGAAAAAAGGAAAAAAGATGAACAGAGGGGATGAGCACCTGCTGCCGGAGCTGAGCGAATGGTGAGCAACTGAGAAGAGACGGCGGGGATGGGGACATATACGCGGTGAATGGCGCGAAACGGAGCGGTAACCCTAGAGAGATGGCGTCGAGGTCGGAGAGGATGGTGAGGATGGGGCGGGGGCAGCCGCACTACGAACCCTAGCAGCGCGCCGGGGGAGCAGAC